ACGCACCTGCAACTATCAAGCCATAAACTTTTTTTGTGCTTGGTACTAAGTCATACCCATATTGCCTCTCTCTCTCTCTCTATATATAGTATATATATATATATATATATATATATATTGGGTGCTAAGAAGTTTAGTGGACGATCAATTAAGTTGGCATAAGATCAACTCTCTCTCTCTCTCTCTCTCTATACTATATAATATATATATATATATATAATATATATATATATATATCCAACATTGTACTCAGGTAATCATTTCATTCTTTTTTCTCGTACAGAATAAGAGGCGTGTTACATGGTGCCCGGGACCATTTTCTAGGAAATGTGGTACTGAGGTATGTATTTGTTCCGGCTGTTGATGAATGATGATGTGTGTGTGTGTCACAAAGCACCCTTGAACTTTAGGTGGTTCCCATGAAAACGCCATGAACTATTTTCCCACAAAACCCTCTTGAATTTTGGGTGTCTAACAAAACACCTCTAAACTTTCATATCAACAGACCCCATAACAGCTTAATAGTGTTGCTGGCTATTACTTTATTTGTGTAGGAAACAAGTGCCTGTTAATGCATTTGCTTGTGATGCCCCCGTGTGTCTTTAGTCCCACTTAGGGTCTTTACAAGGAGTTGAATGACTTTATATAGTATGTGAAGGGATTCAAGTGCAACATTGACCGTCCAATTTTGGGAGTGGATTGAGCCAACCCATGTGTTGTACTCAGTAAGTCCTGCGACTTACACCACGCCAACCATGTGTTGTACTCAGTAAGTTTTGCGACTTACACCACGTCAGGAGCATGAAGTAGTTAACTAGCCAGAATATATAACTAAGCGCTATTTAGGGACTAAGTGTTACAACACTTGAGTGCGATGGGAGCCACCCCTTGAACATGTAGACCCACCTCTAGAATCCATATCACTTAGTAGTGATACTAGGACAAACCAATTGTCATGCTATGAGGAGGATGTCATATATATAAGGTGGGGTGATTGTGATGCCCCACCCGGGTATTTACAAAGATTGAATGACTTTATATAGTATATGAACTATGAAGGGATTCAAGTGCAAAGAGTTGAACGAGTTTATATAGTATGTGAAAGGGTGCAACATTGACTTACCATTATTGTTAGTGAATTGAGCCAAACTATGTGTTGTACTCGGTGGGTCCCATGACAAACACAGATCTGACAGGTTTGCGGGACCGGGGCATGACAAGCACATTCAGGAGTATTGGCAAAGTTCAAAAAAAATTTTTTTTTTTTGGGGGGGGGGGGATTTGGTGGGAAAAAAATTTAGGGTTTTTAAAAGATTATCCTATATAATTTATACTTCGTACCTTTATTTAACTATTTATTAATTTTTGCCAACATAAAGATGTTGCACCCATTTTTTTTTGCAAGTTTAAACATAAAAAGTGCTTTATGGACCTTTTTATTTAGGGCTTTCTGCTTATGTGCTTGTTGAGGGTGAGCCTTGGCACAACTGTAAGGTTGCTGTCTTGTGACGGGGATGTCATGAGTTCACGTCTTGGAAATAGCCTCTCTGCATGCAGGGGTAAGGCTGCCTACATCTAACCCTTCTCAGAGCCCACAATGGTGGGAGCCTCGTGCACTGGGCCACCCTTTTTCGCGTATGTGCTTGTTGAACACATAATTCACCGCTCAAATACTTGCTTCCTTCTTCCATCTAGAGCATATAACGGTAGTTATCAAACAGTTTCAGTTTTATGGCTGTAATCAACAATCAGCTTTAGTTTTGTGGTTCGCAGTTTTATTGTTTGGTAATTACAATAGAAGATTATTTCAATGTCCTTCTATGTTCTTGAGTACTTGTATCAAAATATATTTTTCTTTAGGTGGTAAATAATTGAATCTTGTCACTTTACCATGGTGATTATTTGATACAGAACGATAACTATGTTAAATCTGTAGTGTGTACCATTTTATTTTCCCGGAGTTCTTTTGGTAGATAGTGATAAAGGATTTGAGGAAACTTTTTACCATATTCCACATTTCTTTCTACTGTTGGTCTTCTTTTCATTTGATAATAATACAGTTAAGCTAAAATAATAATTCTATAATAACGAATATGAAAGCAGATCTACTTCTGAGCTATCATTTTTTTGTTGTTCCTCACAATTTTGCTACCAACTCAGCATTCACAATAACCATAATTTATAGACTTGGTTATCATAGAATCAGTGTTTTAGAACTGTGAGAGATTATTCATGTCCATGTTAAGGGATCTCTCATTTATAATTATAACAAGTATTGATCTATGTCAGTAGGTGTGAGCTTAATTTGGCTGTCAGGAAGCATGAAGCTACTAGTGATGATGTTATGCTTCAACTGCAGGTATCCACTCCAAATGAAGTATCTTCTATTAGAGAGTTCAATGGAAATGGACAAGATGTGAATATGCCACCTTCTTTCGAAGAATTAATGCAGGAAAATGAGGTTATCACGGATAATCTGCATAGTAACTCATGCATATCTGATCTCAGTGATAAATCGGATGAGTTTTCGCTTCCTGATGCCTGTGCTTTATTGCATGTTACTAGCAGGAGGAAAATACATCATGAGAGAGCTGAATTGCTCCAGGTCTAAATTATTTTTCTTCTTTTACATTATCTGGCAAAAGAGTTATTAGGGATTCCTTATCCTGATGTCATATCTAAACTCGAAGAATTATAACATGCATCTTTTCTCCATTTTGATGTCATGAAAAATTTTAACTATTCGTTTCCAGATGAAAACAAGAGAAGATGGATGTGAAAGCTCGACATACAAGTCCATGGAATCAGAGTGTAACACAAGCACAAGCGATAGAAGTTCTTTTTTGTCCCAGTTAGGTGTCACATCTTGTGGCCTTAAAGGCTTAACTTTAAGAGAGTCTGAAGCTATTCATGTTATCAAGCACCTTGAAGATCAGGTATTTTTTCTTGTATTGAAATAGGTTTTGGTTTGTAATTCCACTGTTTTATGCAGTTTTTTGGTTTCTTATGCAGATTAGTTCAGTAGAAATGGAGAAGACTGCAATCCAGGGAAACTTTGATGACATTCTTGACTTAGTTAATGAACAAAATACTTCTTTCAAAGAGAAGTATGACGAGGTAAGATAATTGGTTATTTTTCTGAATGTCCTCTAAATGTATGATACTTGCCTGGAAAAGCTCATTTTATTATTGTTTCAGTTTCTCTAGGAACACAATCTTAAAGTGTTCATATATTAATTGGATTATTTTACAACGAATGGGTTGGCTTTCTGATGTTCATTTTAAGTGGCATTTTCTTTTTGATATTTTAGTTTTCTATCTATTTCGTTATTATTCTAGTCCCTTGAACTAAATAAAAATTTATGTTTCTTCCATGGTTTTACCTAAAGTATCATGCATAACTTTTTTAAAAAAAATGGATGAGTAAGAATGTTTTGCAGACTGGGGCTTGGCTGATAGAGTTATACTAGATAAGTGATACCAGCCAGTTTACCTAATTACTTAAAGTTTTTGAATGGATATAGAAAGAATAAGGAGAGATGGAAAATCCAGTAGAAAATAGTATGCTAAGTAGCCAAGCTGCAAAGCAAATAAATCATGCTCTCAACTCTTTCCTTTCTGCTCCATATATGGACTTTTATACACAAGATGATGACCTCGAACTTATTGTATTATGATAGCGTGCTACCACTTAACTCCAACTTTCTTTAGGAATCTCTTGTTGTTATAACCAACGACCTACGAACGTGACTCATAATAATTTATAGCTGTTATAATTGACTATCCTAGCTCCATCACATTTCTCACCTCTCTTTATCTATCAACTCATGTGAGTTGCTAAATCATATTCGGCTGAGCAATTCGCATTGAGTTGTGGCTATTCCGCTGGTAAATTAAGTCATCCTAACTTGTGCCAGATGATGGTTTTTAGCTTGAAGCCTCTAGCTACCACTATCTTCGTCTAGATACATAACATTTAAGTTTTAATGGTCACTCACATCATTAATCACTGTAGAAACATCATTAAATGTATTGAATCAGGCAAAATTAACCTGCCTGATGCCTCGGCATTTGTGCGAAAGCAACCAAAAAAAAATATTTATGCATTTGCTTGAAAAATACACCACATATCTAATCACTTAGGTAAAACTATAGCAAGTAGTAAAAAATATAGCAATTTACATTTTATATCATGCTACTGAATATAAAAAGTGAGTTAAAAATATATTGGTTGAGTATTTTGTGTCTATATGTGCTTTTGGAAGTGGATGAGTTTAAAAGTCAATGGGTGTAAAACCTTGGTTTCAAAAACAGAACAATCTTTGGAGGTGCATGATTAAAAAATTAAATAGGCATGAAACTTTAGATTTATAGGTTAAAAACTCATCTACAATGCCATGAAATTAGCGTGAGTACAAAATCAAACAAATGGTTTAAGCATTTGGTTCAAATATACACCGAATACATAGCTTCTTAGAGAAAAGTATAGAAAGTTACAGTATAATGCAGTAACTTGACTCTTTACCAAAGTGATGAAATACAGAGTGAGTTTAAAACAATTTGCGGAATACTTCGAGACTAAGAGTGATTTTTGGATGAGCGTGAGTTTTTAAAAATAAATAGACGTAAAACTTTAGGTTCATAGACGGAAAACACTTTCTGGAAGTATGAGTTAAAAACAAAAGGGGGGCAACACTTCGGATTTATAGGCAAATAAACCATCTAGAATTCGTGACATTAGTGTGAAAAAAAAGAAAATAGGAAAAGATTGATTTACATATTTAATTTAAAAAATGTGTTGTATATCTAATCACTTAGTTAGCAAGTTGTGATAAAAAAATTGCAACTTGCAATATATGATAAATTGCTAGAATACAATCTGGATTTAAAAATAAATTGCTGACTATTTTGGGTCTAGGAGTGACTTTGAAAGTGAGTTGGTCCAAAAGTAAACCAGGGGTGCAGGGGGTGGGGAGGGGGGTGTAAAAGTTTGAATTTATAGGGAAAAAGAACCTTTTTGAAAGTCGTTAGGTTTGAAAAAAATGGATTAATACGCTAGGCACATTAGTTTGGGTTTAAGAGTGATTTTGGGCACATGGATTTAAACATAAATGGAGATGGGTCCTTGGGCTATAAGGAAAAAGGATGATTTTAAAAAATAAATGAGGGTAAAACGTTGGGTTTATAGGCAAAAGAAACATTCAATTACACATTATTTCATTATCATATTATTTCATTAAGCTTCTGCAGTATTTTGGTCCCCTAAAGAGTGTTTTTGAAGTTCGCAGGCTTAAAAATTATTAGTTTAAAAGTTTGGATTTATATGCAAAACTTCCTTTATTTAATGACTTAAAATATGTGGTCTACACAAGTATTGGATTTTTTTTTAAATTAAGTGAAAAACAAATGTGGCAAAGGGAGGATTTGAACCTGTAACCTATACTTATAAACATAACATTCTAGCCAAGTGAGGTGGTTAGCTTTTAAGAACAATTGGCAAAAATCATACTAATTATATAAAGGTTACTGTTTCTAAAAACTGTTCATTTCCCTTTAACTTTAGCATATAGAGTGTTATAGTATAATGTTAATGAAATTCTCATCAGAAGAACTATTCATCTCTTAGTATTTATGCTTGCTCACTGGTTGCATGAACATTTCCCATTCTTGACTTGACTTTTTCGGTTTTGTGGCTAGCTCCTCTCTTGCCTATGATATTTTCCGCAAGTAATCTGCAATGACACTAGAGAAAATGATATGACGTTAACAATGGCCTCATATTGTGTCACTTTTTTATGGGAGAAGACTTGGATTGTGATGAAGATAATGACATAAACAAAAATGTTTTAAGTATGATGTCTTTATGTGTAATTTCTTTTACTCATTTTTCTCTGATTTCAGATTTCTTTTCATGTAGCTATATCAGGATCTTTTAAATGCACGTAATGAAGCTAGAGTGGCACAGGAACAACTTTCTTTAGTTGCATCAAACAAATTACATAAAGAGGTATTTTCTCACCTAGCATATAGCATAACAATCAGGGTACTAATTGATTTAAGGCTGGAGCAGCATTTACTGAGAACTGGTCAAACTTTCAGCCAGCTTCTGCTGCATCAGATTTCGACCTTGGGGTTGCACTTATGCTTACTTTTAATAAAATATATGTTTTATCTTTTATTTTCATTTATTCAGGAACCTGTAGGTTTCTCGCTCATTGATGTGTCAAAAGAAGTCCAAGAAGTAGCTTTGCTTGTTGACCATTCAAAAGGTGTTGTGGATAGTGTTCTATCTTTTTTTGAAGATCTCTTCCGAAACTTCAGTGTTATACCAGATCTGAGGGTAAATACATCTAGTTATCTTGCACTTTGTCTCAGTCCATTTTTCTTCTATAATCATGTTTGGTTGAGTCTTCGATTGTTATTATTTCTTTATCTTTATAAAGGTTATTCTTTTGATAATTGACACAGTGTTTGACAATTATTTAAAGTCATTAACTTTGTAAGTCGTAACACATCTGTTATGTGGCTGTCATTTGTTGGATATAGGCTGCAAAAAAAAATGCTAAGAGATGAGAAGTGATGATAACCACTCTTCCAATGTGACTAGTTGGTTGCCTCACCTGGCTCACCACTATCGCAGCTCAATCAGAGAAATGTGTTGCTAGCCTGTACACATTATTTCCTGTGAGTAAACAAGACTGGTGTGTCGGTAGTTGTAATGTCACTGATGTGACACACATCCCAAGTCCCTACAATCCAGATCATCAACATCCTAGATCTTATCTGATTCCTTAAATGTGCCCCACCTTAGCAACACACCAGCCAACTACATGGAGTGACACCAAGCCTTATTTACTCCATATCATTGTCCATCCGCCCCTCTGCCACTAAGAAAATCAGCAACCTCCAGAGCTTGCATGGTGTTGTATGAGATGTACATCACAGTGTAAATACCATAAAAGAGGTTGATAATGAGCTAGAGTTTGGTTAGATATTGTTTGAGTGAAATTGCAGATGAAATAGAACCCTCCTCGTTAAGTTAATCGGGTCTATACCCAATTAATCAGGCAAACCTGATTTTATGACCCAACTGTTATCCTATATAGAATGACACCTCATGTCAGAGTGATCCAATATAATCTTAAAAGAGTTAAAGTAATTACTGATCAGTGCCGAAGTATAGTTCAGAAAAGCTAACAGGATTATTTTCTGCTGACGTGGGATTTTGTAGAACTCTATGAACTGACATCATGTTTCTGCTGAACTTCTTATTGCTCCTCATTCCTTACTTTGGTTGATTATATTCTTTTACTATGTTGATGTTAGTGGTATTTCGTTTTACAGGAAATTAAGTTATTTTCTAGCCAAAATATGTTGCAACTTGAATCTATCATCTCTTTGCACAACAAATTACAGAGCTGTTTGAAAAATAAATTGGAAGAGGTAGAGCTGGAAAAGGTATATCCATTGTATATATCTTTCAATCAGTAATGTTAGCACTTAGCTGTTACTTTTAGCACTTCATGCATTGATTTTATTTCACTTGCAGAATCTATTGCAAAATCAGTTAGCTGATCACCAAAAACAAATCGAGGAGCTTAAATATGATTTAGTTACCACAGAGAGGGCAATGGCAGTAAGTGACTATTCTCTTTCTCTTCTTCCTTCCCTGTAAGATCTTTTCTTCCCTTACATGTCAGAGTTTTTGGTTTTTTTTTGGTAGGATCAATTTAGTCAACATGAATTCGAGAAAGATGAACTTCTTGGTCAAGTTCTCAACCTTCAGAAGGAAGTGATGTGCTTGTCATCGTCTGCCTTGTTTAAAGAAAAGGAAATTGTCAGGAAGGAGCTTGACAAAACTAAGCTTAAGTTAAAAGATATGGAGTCCAAGCTTAGGAATACCGTCCAGGAAAAGACAAAACTCGAGGTTTTTTAATTTGATTTTTCATAGCGCCTTTCCTTGTTTGAAAGCTTATCTTGCTACTTGCTCACAATCTACATGCCAAAATTTCCCGTCCAGAGTGAAAAAATGCAAGCTGAGCGTGAGGTGAAACACTTGATTGGTCAAAGGGCTGTTCTAGAACGTGATATTCGGAAACGAGATTCACTGCTTGATAGAAGAAATTCAAAGTCATTTGATTCCAATCCAAAGGGTTATTTTGGTGTTCAAGAACAAAATATTGAGGTGAGAAGATTGTGCAAAAATTGGAACTAAATATTGCTAATATTATTAAATTTTTATGTCATCTTTTATAGCTCATGATTAACTGCAGGTTGCTAATTCAAGTCTAAAATGTAATTGTTCAACTCTATTGATTTCATGGATAACCTTTTAAGCAGAAAATCATCTAAACCTATTGTGTACCTGTATAGACACATGATAATGAGCTTGCTAGAAAAATAAAAAAGTTAACAAATTAATAACATGTTGCATGACATGATAATGAGCTTGCTAGAAAAATAAAAAAATTAACAAATTAATAACATGTTGCATGAAGAACTTAACTCTGATAGTTGCTTTGGTCAAGGTTTTAAATATCGGATATGCGGGAAATATTGGATGAGCAAAATTCATATGGATTACGAATATAGGGAAAATATAGGGGATATGTGGTAAATATCGGAATGCCATAACCGATGTTTGCATGTATAGTAGAATGCACTAAAATATAATCTCAACATATAAAATGTGAATAATCTATGTTTAGGATCACTAATCAACCTTGTAAAATAAACAAAAGTACAAATCAACTTCGCAACATTTGGTCTGATCTTTAGGGTAAAATATCATTCGATATAATGAGGAAATCATGATATCTCGCCCAAAAATTGTCAAACACAGTATAATGTTTTGCGACAAGCCATATAAAAAGATATATTGGTCCACATATCGGCTGATATATCGACCATATCGGGGATGTATCACTTAAAATAGCCAAAAAAATGTAAAGGATATTTAGAGACCACATCAGTTGCGGCGGCAAGCCCTGTAAAAGGATATATCAGGCCATGTCGGGGATACTTAAAACAATGGCTTTGGTGCAAAAAAATTTCAGTTAAAATTTCTGAAGTTTAAACGGCCAAGCAAAATGACTCAAGATGTACTATTATTACTATTGTTATCATTATTTCAATTTTAAAAAAATTGGACTACATATTCAACATGCCAGGCGAAATTTTTATTTTATAGAGCTTTTCTAGGGCTTGTCGCAATGAGAAAAGTTATACATGATGTTTATAGTGTTGGGAAATTATTGGCAATATGTTGGGATTTTCCCTGATATATTCGATCACATTTTGGGATTTCTCAATGACACTTCGGCATCAAAAAATGTCGAAATGATATCACTAGGCTTTAATTAAGATTTTTTATGAAGGGCTGGTTTGGGTTAGGGCTCCAGCCCTAAACCCGAATCTAAACCTACTCTAATTCTCAAATATGATGCTTAGAGTTCAATTATGCCCTAATGCTTCACCTCACATTCCTAGAGTTGAGTCTCATCACCGTCGCCTATTTATTACTATTCACCCTCGACAAATGTTGCTACTAGTAGACTCCTTTTTTATTTCTCTAGGTCTCTCTCTCAACACCTAATAGTTGATCTCCCCCAGTCTTTTGTTGTAAGTAATTAGGAAATAAATAATATTAGGAATGATATATTAGAAAGATTTATTAGAGATTTGGTGATTGAGAGATATTAGGAAAGTGATTAGAATAGTAATTGTGATCAGGCAATTGACCAACTATTTGCTAATGAGCACTTCAATTAGAAATTTTACATGAAGGGTTCCCAACAACTTTTGAACATATATTATGAGGAAATGATAAAGGTGATGGTTCTCCATGCATGACAAGTGATTTTTTCTGTTTTCTGACCTACAAAATGGATAAAGCAATATTTTTATGTTTCTGCATTGCTACATAGGATTGCAATGTATCTCGATGTATGTTATTTACTAATATTCGAAACATGGATGACTTTGTAGGTCAAAAATTTAATGTGATGATGTATGGAATCCCTGTTAATAAGCATTAAAGTTGGAAGCATTCTTAGGGTGCAAAGAGAAGTTTCCATATATTCAGACATGAAAAAATGTTTTACCTAAAGTTGATGGCTAGATATTATGACATTATTGATGTTTCCATTTCGTTTTGGGTATATATGTATCATGCAAGATTTCATAGCATCATCCTGATGCAAAAATGGATATAGCGCCATGCTACATAGTGTTCATATAGGCAAAACAAAAATGAGTTAATTATTACATTCTCCACCCTTATTTGTTTAGTTTCACATATCCTTATCAAGCCGCATAAATCTTGTTGGCTTATGGCATCCCTTTATGACATACAACATATAGTTTGTGAGTAAGAAATTGCATTAGGTCCTTTGCAATAGGCAGATGCGAACCTTTTATGCGGTCATGTATTGATTTTGAAAATTGTTTCTAATGTTGAACTTTTGGCATTCTCTCCACTGTTTGTTATTGATGTTGTCCAGATCAATTTGACCTTGGTGATAGCTTTTGCTTATTATTTCATTTTGATATCATCCATCATATAGATTACCATTTACAAGAATATTCTTGATTTTGTAATGTCATGCATATGATTGGGAATATATAGCTGTTGTGTTGATAAACTTTTGTAGCTATTAGAGTAGAGAGTAGGTGTAACTGTGCCGTTGCCAAGGATATTGCGTGAGCGCCCATCAGCAAATAAAATAGAAGGCGAAGAATGGGTTTGTGAAAATTATAAAAAATTTGTGGATTTACTCGTAAGATGTGAAGAGGCGCTAGAATCAATAATCCCCGAAGTAGAAGGTGACAAGTAATATCTGGGTGTGTTAAATTGGCAACTTCTAAAGTAGATGCCCCATGCACCTTCTGAGTAGAAAATTATACCCTAACCGACTCATGGAAACATGCTCATTAGCTGAAGATGGATGGGCAGCAGAAGATTCCTTTGTAATTAAGGTAGATAATGTGAGACCCCAACTTTAGTCCCACATCGGGAATTTATAGTGAAATTGTGTGCCTTAAATAGGTAAGCCTAAGACTCAAGTGGAACATTTGCTAGTCGACTTTGGCAGTGGATTGAGCCAAACAACACGTCATACTTAGTGGGTCCCACGACTTGCATGCGTCAACGGGCCTGCGGGCCTAGGGTGTAACAAATGGTAGTAGAGTAATTATCAGCCGGAAATGTGAAGCTAAATGCTATACGGGACTAAGTGCTGCACCGCATGAGCGAGGTGAGAGCCGCCTCTAGAGCTCGCAGGAACTATCTCTAGAGTCCACATTGCTAGTCGACTTTGGCAGTGGATTGAGCCAAACAACACGTCATACTTAGTGGGTCCCACGACTTGCATGCGTCAACGGGCCTGCGGGCCTAGGGTGTAACAAATGGTAGTAGAGTAATTATCAGCCGGAAATGTGAAGCTAAATGCTATACGGGACTAAGTGCTGCACCGCATGAGCGAGGTGAGAGCCGCCTCTAGAGCTCGCAGGAACTATCTCTAGAGTCCACATTGCTTGGCCCGTTTAGGATGTGCCAATTATCATATCGTGATGAGGACGTCGCACTTGTAAGGTGAGGTGATTGTGAGACCCCAACTTTAGTCCCACATCGAGAATTTACAATGAAATTGTGTGCTTTAAATAGGTAAGCTCAAGACTCAAGTATAACATCAGCTAGTCGATTTTAGCAGCGGATAGAACCAAACAACGTGTTATACTTGGTGGGTCCCACGGTTTGCATACGCCAACTGGCCCGCAGGCCCAGGGTGTAACAGATAAGCCGCCCTCATCACAGATATGCCCCTTATATGGAAATTGTGACCACTCTGGTTTGTCGTGAAACTCCCAACATATTTCAACAGTGATTTATCCGCCTACAGTGAGTACAAAAACGTGAATCACTTTCTCGACCACGAACACGTTCATCATGACCACCACGATTTGTGCACCCACCACATTTTCAGGGAATAAATCCTCCACGATCAAGAGAAGACCGTGGAGATCTTATAGATGAGAAAAGTACAAAAGTCTCAACAATTGATGGCTATAGTGAGGTCTCTATAGCCTGAGAGAGGCGAGAGAATGCTCCATGAAGATAGGGTAATCCGCCTTCTGATGCTAAGAAGTATCCTCGCATTGGTTTCAAAGTCGAATTCAAAATAGATAATAATTTGCAGACAAAGAGATCCTCTCGTTATTTCTTCAAAATCTGAATATCTATAGTCAGGAATGATACTGGTTAAGGAGATCGTGCATCCCCTTTAGCTGATTATAATACTCCAAACTCTTGTCTCCCTGTTGAATACTAAAGAGCTCCTCATATGCATCAAATACTCGTGAAGCATTTTGCTTCATAGAATAAGTATCCCGGACAACTTCCTTGATCTCTTTAGCAGTATTCTGTATTTAGAAGAATAAAGTGAGTGGATATGTGTGACTTCATACTCCCCCATAGCCAAGTCATAACAGTCGAGTTGTCACGTTCCCAGTCTTCCTTAATATTCACAACAGAGATTTTCTCAACATGCTTGTCAGTAGCAATAGTAGAGGTAGCAACAGAAAGATCAGATTTAGAGAACATGATCAACTTTAACTTTCCCTTAGAACTCAGATATACACGAACTAATTTCTCTCATATCAAATACTTCTTTCTATTAAGTTTAGTGGTGGTGATCTGCAAGTGATCACAGTCCTCCTTGATAGTGGCCATAAGTAGTAGTTGGGATGTAGAAAGAAAATTACGGATAATGACAATAGACTGTAAAAAAAACATTGTTGCATGAAAGAAATTATTTCAAGCCACAACAATCATGATGATCGTCGAAGGGAATGAAGAGCAGGGGTTTTAGATGTACTTAGGCATCTACATGGCAACGAGGGTCTACGAGTATGTCGTTGATGTGGCAACGATGATTAGATCTGAACTATCATCGTGATCTGTGTGATGTTGTTGAAATTTTGTGATGTTGGAGGAGATTAACTGTAGAGGAGATGAAGACCTGGATGAGATAGTACCGGGGCACTACTCATGTGATGAACAGTGCCGAGGTTATTGTTCATGCGATTAACAATACCGAGGTTACTGTTCACAAGATGAACAATATCACGGCCAGAGAGGTTAGAAGTTGATTGTGGTTAAGTTTGGAGGCATGAAAATTAGGGTTT